AGTGCTGCAGTATGAATATTCGATAGGTGCGAGCGGGCTGGGGAGTGTTGAGATACATCAAAGTCTAGCTGCTTGAAGCGTGGCGAAGCATTTTATTCTAATTGTTCACTTGTGCTGTTCTCAAAAATAATTGACAAAAGTCATAATTATTGTATATATAAATATATTTTCTGCAATATAGTTAGTGAATTTTCCATTAAATTGTTTGTTAAACTTGTTTAAAGACGTGTGCTCATATACGTTGGAGCTTTGTGTTGGAAATAATTCTGATTAACAGGAATGTAACATGTCCATTCTTTTAACAAAATAGCCCTATATCATTGTTGGGTACTTAACAATCAACCTCTGCTGCGACGTCTCATCGCGCTTGCAATGCTTTTCTCCCAGCTTTAATTCCTTGCGCGCTGTGACAGTTCTTCTGGCATTTTTGAATTTTGATTTGAGCCTATTGCAGATTTCATTTTGCTTCATCTTATTTTCATATATTTATTTTGCATTCTTTCCCAAATCTTCCTTTTGAGGAACAACCGTAAGTGTGGACGGAAAAAATTCTATGGGTTTGAAAAACGTGAGGCAATTAGATGTATGAGTTAGCAGAAAGTGGGATCAGGCTTGTACTTGCGTGCTGTTGCATTTTAATACTTAAATTCGCCAAATTCTTGGAAAAATTTCATATTTGGTAGATAGCTCTTCCAAAAATTCAGTCTAAATTTAAAAGCGGCATTTTTGCCTAGTAGTGAGCAGAAGTGAAGTGAGGAGGCAAAGGAATGCCTAGCGCATTAGTAGCATCCCAATGAAGAATATTTTTGCAGTGTGTAGGGTTACATATGCTGTTTGCCTTCTATTTTTATTTTCGAAAAATGGACGCCTGAGTTCCCGAAATAATTAATAATTTAAATGCTGATCGCGGAAATTTTAGTACTTCAGTGAGGAAAGCACTCACACGGAGAGGCCTGCAACATTAAATAATGTAGCATGTGTTCCACATTTCAGTGCCATTCTCCTTGCCCTTCCTGTCTCTATTTTTCGCAGAAATAATGCTTGAAAAACTCCAGGCGAATTTTGGGCGAGGCTCCTAATGAAACAAAATTTCTAAGACGGCAGTGGCGGTGCCAGAATAAGCCAACACTAACGTTTTCTCCTCCGTACAAAATCGGACGAGCACCGAGCAGTACCGGAATCGTTTGTCTCGCTTCCTGAAGACTACTGCAAATTTTTATTCTCACACAGATCACAGATGCACTGCTGCGTTTACGCAGTGTGGGGCGTTCTGACCTCCTGCGTTAAACTTGTGGCGTTAGCTTGTCATAGTATAGGCACTGACTACATCTGATATGTGTCATTCAGAAAATTAGGCGCTACTGAGGGCTAGAAGGCAGCTAAAGCAAATGTGGTAGCGCGAAAAATTATCACAATTACGGTCTTTAGTTGTGACAGTTGTGCAAATCTGTAAAACACAGGGCACGAAAAAACAACTGCTGCTGCAGTGATGAGCGAGGATTTCCCGCTGTATCCGGGAACTGAGTTGTTTGCCGGAAATAATCATTTTGGTGACTGTACACGAAAAACTGTATGTGTTTGTCTGTCACAGTGGGGAAGACGCTGAGTCACGAGAATACGGTTGTACGAGTGGATCCTGGCCTTAAGTATCAGCAGCAACAACAGCAGCAGCAGCAGCAACCGCAGCAGCAAAAGCCGCCCGGAGTAAGCAGCAGTGCAAGCAGTCCGCGTCTGGTCTCGTTACCAGGTTCGCCATACGCATCCTTTCGTTACTTACTGCTGTTTCGTTCGTTGCTTGGTTAATAAGCACGCTGCATGTGTCACTTTCAACCGCATGCTCTCTGCAGTATTCTGGACAGCTTGCTCATCTGCTTTTCTTTTTAATTTGCCAAATGCTGGCACTTGTTTCAGTCCCAGTTATCTCTCCTCCTCCTCCCAGACCCCTCCAGTGCAGCGCCTCCTGGCACTGTTTGTCTTATGTTACCGGCCAGTTGAGATTTCTATTGGCGCGACCCATTTCCGCAACCGCTCGTAGGATTCCCTCCATATTTCATCGTTTATAAAAATTTTAAGTTCGATCTCAGGTATACATCAAATTATCTTTTCACTCAGCGACGTTTTAGCAAGGTGAGAGGAAGAGAAGTTGGGTAGGAAAAGTTGAAGGAAAGGTATTCATCTTGAGTGTAGTAAAATCATTAGTGCCGATTGAATTATGCAATAATTAAGTCGAATACGTTTAATTTAGCTTCAGTTGATGCTAGTTAGTCAGGAGAATACCAGAATTAGTTGTATATTACTAATAGACAGAAAGCGTTGTTCATGAATGCTGGATTTAGATGGCTTGTTAGTCGAAAAGGCAGCAAAAATATTTAAAAAAGTGTGTTACTGATTTGGATGCACAGGGCTTATGACAATCTCGACTTTTTTCGTTCAAGCAACTACTATGTTACAGATTGAGGTTTCTTTTACTCCATAGAGAAGATGAGTTTAGCCCTGCTCTATTACATAAAAATATTGCAAGTAAATTAGAGAATTCGAAAACAAAAGGTTAAAAATTTTGCGTATGTAAGTGCCATAGTGTTTCACTTATTCGGGGATGTTTCTTGATTTTTCCGAAAGCCATAACAATCGATATTTTTGAGTACTGAACGTGGGCGCTGACATTTAATCTGATGGCGATTGGCTCGGGCGATTCAGAGTAGAGCTTTTTTCATCCGAGCAAATTTTTAATTTTTGTGAGAACAAACAGCCTGTTAGGATGAAAATTGACAGTTTAATGCGAGCAGACCGAGTTTTGAGATACGTGGAACGTTTTCTTGATATGCAGGGTTAAAACCTGTGTTTTTAAAAATCAGTTGCTCGTCATTTCGCATAGCTGTTGTAATCTAAAATTCCTAGGATGTGTTGTCTGCAGAATCATTATGAATAACACGTGCCGTTTTGCACAGTGATTAAAAACTTGGGATATGCTTACTGCATTATGAATCATCGCTTTGGGATTAGCTTGACCGAGACTTTTAAAACACAAAATTGACAGTTTCAGGGTTTAAAATGAGTAAATGACCACTGAAATCAAGTACTACTAGGATTCTTAGATCTGCTCCTATACTGCAAGAAGAGGTGCTACTTGCCGTTTATTTTTTGTGACTTCTCTCTCCACAGCGCCACTAGAATATAATGCCTTGCTAAGTAAACAGTAGTAAATTTTTTTAAATCTGTTCGGAGCGTGATGAGAGTAAATTCAAAAACAACGAATTGCGCTTGTTCCTCGTAAACGGATGTGCTGAACGGTGAGGAATGCTATCCGAATGTGAGTGTGGGTGTGAATGGATATAAATTGACTGAGCTGTTTAGCTGTAGCGAATATCCAGTTGTTCACTGAGCTGTTCTAATGGATAATTAATCCAGGTTACAGTTGGCTGGGTTCCACCGCCCAGAATAGACAGTTGCGTAGACTACTCGAATAGTGTAGCGCGGGATTTCTCTTGCACACGAATACGATGAACATCAGTCTGCGAAATTTTCAACATTTCTGCAGCTCTCTTCCCGCCTTCACTCCATCCGCTGTAATCGTAAATATTAGAAGGCTCCATAATGTAACGGTGCCATACCAGCCAATGCCTTTCTCCCACACGTGTAAAAAGGATCAGTCAGGATATCGATGACGTGACTGCGTATGTTAAACGGCAAAGGAGCGATCATTTGTAGTATTAACGATCTTACTGCTGTACGAAATCGCGCAAAAATGTATGATTGCATCGGTAACCTTAGTGTGTGCCATACTTCGGCCCGCGGATGTCTCAGTCGCCGAGATAGTTATGACTTGTAACTTATTTACTTGATGGACTTGGCGTTGTTTTACGTGTGCCACGGTGTTTTACTTATGTCTTCTTCTCTGATCAGGTGTCCTGGCAGCCTCGAGGTCTGTTGTCGTTCTTCAGAAACGTCTTATGTTCCTCGCTCTCTACGTTTGCCTTTCGCTGCTGTCTCATTCTTCAGGTGTAACAAACAGAACAGTTTATTTCACCTGTTGCAGTTGCTGTTGTGCTGCAGCATACACAGCGTAATTAATGCTTGAAGCATCCTCGCTACTTTAAGTCTTTTTCCTACTCTTCTTCAGGTGAATGTTGATATAATTTCATCAGTCGCACAATACTTTTCGCACTTATTCCTCGTCCTGTTCTCTCCATCCTTCTATGAATTTCAACATTCAGTTCAATTTCTGGATGAGATTTCGACTGCTTTTTCCAATTCGTCCATGGTTTCAGTTCTGTTCACTACGATGCTCAGCAGCAGCAGCACTTCAACGCTAATCACACAAATGGATACTCAAAGTGCATAATTTCAGCTTCTTTCTTTTTTTTCCTGTTTTGTTATTCTTTTCCTCATTCAGCACTCGCTTATTCCTTCCACCCCTCCGATTCCCACCTGAAAGTGGTTGCTCTCTTACAGTCTTTAAGTGCCGTGTCAAAGTACACAGTAGCTGTGGTACCACTGAAAGCAGTTTGGTAAGCTGCTGATTCGGCGACCAGTCGTCAGTCTATCAATTTTCAGCAGTAAGGCATCTTTCTCGATTAGCGTAGCAACCTAGCGATGTATTGGCTACTACGAGCCAGTGATTGTGCTTTCGCAGACAGATCATAGTTTCACCAGTTGCCCGCAGTCTGTCATTTTAACGCTAAACCTCGATGAAGTTTTCACCTCGATTTAGGAAAGGATACCACTTCATCCGTCTAGGGTTTGACTTCTGGAATATTTGTATTTTGAAGAACCCACTCAGTCTGGTTTTCATGTGAACCCCCGGAAACGGTTTATTGCCGGTGATTGCAGCAGACGTAAGCACCGCTTCTGATTCTCGTGGAGATTTAAAACGTTTCAACGGAAGAAGCTGTTTTTAGACACTTTCCACTGAACTGCATATTGAGTACATGGTCAGAAAATAACAATTCTTGTTCTATGTATTGTTCACTCATTTCTTGCGTGCACATAGGTGCTTCTGACTTTCATATAGTAGCGCAAAAGCGGGAATATAAGCTAGGTTCGTTCCTGGGGGCCAGAAATCCGAGGCATATTAACTCATTTTGAGAAAGACTGGGCGAGTGTTATCAAGGCCAACATGTTATATTTTGTGCTTTCTTACTGCTTTCGCATTTCTTTGCATTCACTACTTCTTTAGCTTTCCCGATGAATTGCAAAAAGAATCCACTCGGTCCGCAAGCAGAGCTGCTGTGGTGTTCATTAAAATGTTAGTTTCATACTGGGAGGAAAGCCTTTTTAACGCACAGAAAACCTTTGAATTTTGTTTTCAGAAAGGGTTTCCAAGAAACGTAATTTTTTTTTTTCAAAAATTGTGATTGTTCTGTAGTTTCTAAACCCAATCGCTAGATAGATTTCTGGATATGCTTTGATACTGTTGTGTCATTTTGACTATTAGCATGTTGCATTTGTGTAACAAAAATTTTTAGGTATTAATGCATGCTTAAAAGACTGCTGCATGTATCGCATGCCTGCAATGATGCATTCATTTTATCGGATTTAGATTAGATTTGTTTGGATGAATTAAGCACTCATCACTATAGGGTGTCCTGAAAATATAGTGATTCCCAGTAGCATATGATTTTTGCCACTCTATAGTAAAATGAAAGTTCGAGCTAATTATGCTTTCAGCGCAGTGGAAACTGGAAACTCATGGATCACAAAAACTGATTATTTTTAAACGTTAATTTAATAATGGCTATAGAGCAATGGAGTAAGAAGAGGAGTGGAGGCTCGGTGGGGGATGTTCGAAGCAAACATTTGAGGAGTACTGCTAGTAGGTTTGAGGAACACTATCTGGAACAACAAAGTATTCGGAGATTTTGCTCATCTGGAACTAATTTTAACTAACTGTAAGTAATAACTGCGAGTGTTTCAAATCTCTCGCATAAGATTATTTGCAGAAGGCCGAACAGTACTGTTTTCCGCTAGGAATGTTTATGTTCTTGGCAAACTAAATGCTTGTTTGGTATAGGCTAAGCCAAATTATTGCACATATCCACTGCCTGTGGCAATAATCCCTCTACTACTGGTTTATTAGTTTGAAGAGTAAATTAATTCTGACATATGCCAGAGATTCAAACCTTCATCAGCTTGCTTGTAAGTACCCTCGAAAAAGCTTTCCTAGCGGTTGGTTAGTGTTGGCATTTGCTACCAATTAGGTTACTTCCCGAATGCCTTCCTTTCTGACGATGAGCGAATACGGAAAAGGGTTTTGACTTTTCACATTGATCCATTGCCTGGATTGTCATTGTGAGGCTGTCAAGGCGCACCTGACCCTGATCCTCCTTTTCGTACACATCCGCCTCGTATGCAAAGTTTGGAGGTCGAATGTACTGCTTTAGCAGGCTTACTCACTTCAAATATGATAACAGTTCCTGAATGTCGAATCATATCCCCTCAGGATCGCTAATATTTTGGGACACTCTGCACTTTTTTTTTTATTTTTGATCAAAAAGTTGTTGGCTAGACTGTTCATGAACGAGCTGCGTTGTGTGCAAAGCTAGCTGCTTGTAGTTGATTGGAGCACTGAAGCACTTTGACAAAAAAGTCTGTCGTTTTATTCGACCACTTGCTACTTGGCATTCAGGAATCAAGCATAGGAAGCACGACTGAGGAAAAGATTGTCGAAGATGCTCTAGCAGATTGCCAAAGCTCTTCACAGTTGCTCACTGAGCATCACTAGGGTGCACGGGTGCTGTTGCTGCATTGATCTGTGTAAGCAGGTCTTTACTCATTTTGCTTGGCGCACAAATCCTCAAGTATTGTTTAGCTTAACAGCAGCGAAGCACCATCATTTTTCCAACAAGAATTCATCTCGAGGGCAGCGCAAATTACAGTCAGTCCCCGACAAGCTAAATCATCTTTAGGCCTGCTAGGATTGCCAGCACCGCTCTGTCGCTGTTGTCATAGAGTTCATTTAGTGCTGCTCGATTTCAATAAAAAAAATTATCACCTAATTAATTTGCTGTAAAAAAACTTGTCAAATTGGTATATCAATATTTTTCTAAGTGGGTGTGAGGTATGGTTTCTTTTGTTCCTGAACTGAGTTCTGATTTTTGGTATATTCTCATTTTATTACTTTTCCTTTGAGTTTATGTTCATTATTAATTCACTTACCCAACTTGTGGTTTGGCTGTTTCCACACAAAAAAAAAATACAAACATGCATGCATAACACATATACAGATACATACAAATACATACACATACGTATCGTTTACGACATCCATCCCGCCATTTCTGTTATTTACTTTCTAGCTCCGATCATCCATCCCTTCTTGTTTTTTTCAAATGTTTTCGAAGGAATTTGACGCTCGAAACGGTGCACTGTATTTTCAGCGCAGAAGCAAGAAATTGTTCGCGTAACGCAGCAGTTGTTGGATGCCATTTCGTGCAAAGACTATGAATCATACTCGTAAATTTTATTTTTGTTTTTGTTGAGAGCTGTACAGATTTTACGTACACGATAATAGGATCAGGCGTTCCATGTTTTCGGCAGCAGAAATACTTTATTCCCAGTTGCAGTTTCTTTTCTAGCTCGTGCTTTTTATTTAACAGTGTCGAGGAAATGGCACAAGTCTCACTTTCAACAGAGCCTGATGCTTGTACTGGAACTATTTTTGGTAATGTGTTTTTTTTTTGTTTTAATGGCCTCGGTGACAATTGCAGGAGGCTTTGTGATCCATCGATGACATGCTTCGAGCCGGAAGCATTGGGTAATCTGATCGAAGGCATGGATTTTCATAAATTTTATTTCGACAACAGTAAGTTCCTTCTGTCGCATAATTTGTTCTTTTGTCCCCTTGCATCTCCTTTAGTGCAAAATCAACCGTGAGCCGAGATTCGTTGGGATCAAAAAATGTTTTGTACTGTTTACTTCAGCTGTCTAGTCATCGTACAAGACTGAAAACAGCCCGGAATGTCGAATGTTGCAGAGCAGCTTCTAACAAACTGAACAGTAGCTCCTTAGGGCTGTGCCTTGTGGGCATATGTTTGAGTAGCAATAAAAAAAGTGATGTTTGGAGTAATTCTGTCTTCCTAAGAAAAAAAGCGCTTGGTCAAACGAGTGGCGTGCAGTAATATAGCCGCGAAAAATAGCTGGGCCAAAAAATTTTTTTATCGAAAATAGAAATAAAATCTGCTTAAAAACTGAGTTCGGGAATGCAAAATTCAGACGTTGAAAAATCACAGAATAGAAACGGTTTTGGGTGGAAGTGCATGATTTTTTATCAAAAGTCGGCTGTACGAGGAAAAAGAAGCCTATGATGATTTTTGCTCTTCACCAGCAGCATTTAATTCAGATAGTGGATTGCGAGGACCAAAAATCCATACAACGCTGCTCAATCCCAATGTGCATCTGATGGGCGATGAAGGGGCATGCATCGCTTATATCCGCCTGACGCAGTATATTGATAAGTTAGCATTTGCCACTTTTCTACATTTTTAATGTTCACGCGAAATGTCAAGAAGTTTGATATTAGCCAAATTTATTTCACATTTTTCAGTTTGTTGCTTTTTAATTCTCGTATTATAACAATAGCCCAAAATGGACCTGATTTCTTAAGTTCATGAAATAGAGAAGTATGAAAGTTGATTTTGTATTTCTGACCCCCGCATATCGCCGGAGGCGCTTTTCCGGATTTTTAAATCTTTAGCTTTCGTAATTCATGGGTTTAAATGTCCGGTGAAACAAATACAGAGATGCACACACATCTGCGAAAATGGGCTTATCACATGCGGAATCCTTATGTGTTTTCGCATATTTATGCAAATGCAAAAACGTATATTTGCAAGAGGTTCTGTACGTGTATGTATCCATGCGTACGCGCTTTGACATCCACTTTCAACGCATCACGCAAAGAAGCTAGTAAGTTGAAACTTTTTGAGAATGTTCTCACCCCATTTGCGACTTCCCCGTTTTAACATTATCATTCACCTACGGATGCACACGTCAAACGCATTTGCAACGGCCAACCAGTCACGCTGGGAAGCTGAAATTTGCATGGCAATCTTATGCACGACAGTTGAATCTGAAAACTTTAGCTCGCACATACACAGAGAATATTCCTGCAAAGTTTCGGCTTTGCGCCTTGCCTGGTT